ATAGCTCAGTGGTTAACGCTTCTGACTTTGAACATCGAATTCGCAGGTTCGATCCCTGGTGAAGTCTAGAAAAAAGAAGTCTGAGGAGGAGATGTGGTGATCTCCGAAATAGTGCTATAACTTCTACCGCTTAGACTTTGTTGCTTTTTCAATTTTTCCTAATAAACATTCGTGGTACAAAGCTCAATAAAAATATTAAAAATAAACCCCTTTTAATTTAAAACAGCCACTTTCATTTTATGAAAACTTTAATTAAATTGCCGCAGCTAAAAGATTTTCAGTAGTTGCGCAAAAAAATCAAAATGAGTGAAGCACACTCAGTGTTACCACAACGCTAAAAAAATGCTATTAAAACACAGAGTCGCTTTTCAGTTGAATACATTTTGGAAATGAATGCAATTCGGTAAAGTTTCTGTCTAATCAAATATGTATATAATATAAATAATAACATGGCGCATAATTCATAAATATTTGTATATTCATACCTTAGTATTTAAAAGGCCATATAAATCGAAAAATTCTTTAAAAATATTCGTCAAAATAAAGTCTGTGAAAAAATCTGGAGCTAACTTTAGAGTCAATTTCATTTCGACCATTATTTATAAGCCTTACATACAAGATGTCATGCAAATTTAAAGGTTGTAAACAAGGCGAATTTATATATTAGGCCATGAGAACAGAAGTGGCCTAACCAAAAATTTATTTTTTTGTACTTGCCTACTTATAAGAGTCTCATATGTGATCCGTTTTGAAATTAAAGTCGATTATTTCTTAATTTTAAGGTACATAGCTACATAACGTACCATCAAATTGAGGAATAAAGCGACCTTTACTTTAAAATTTATTACATTTGAAACTATTTTAAGAAGCTAAGTACAAACAAAAAAAATTGTGGGTTAGGACACTTCTGTTCTCATGGCCTCATATGTAAGGTGGTTTTATAAAGCAATTAAAATTTCATTCTATGTTTATGAATAAAGCGATTAATATCAGCGTTCTTGTACACGATAGTTTGTACCATTTTTTTTACTAACTATCACGTTTTGGGGTTCTTGCAACCAAAAAACTTGGAAGAAAGGGGAAATTGAGAACGCAAAGTGACATTTCATTTTGAGGAGAAGTAGCTACTTTTTACTGGATAAATTTTTACTAGTAAGAACTTACAAGTGAGAAAAACAGCGGATCGCATGTTGCTTGGTGCAATTGAAGCTAATAAAAAAAATGTTTATGGGTTTTTTATGGGTGAAATTGACAAAATAAACTTATTAAAATATAGAATAAGATATTAGACATTGCTTTTATTAGGAACTTGCTGCGAATAAGGAACAAATTAATCAGCTGTTCGTAAAACTTGCAAATTATTACTGGTTTTACGTTTTTGTACTTTTTTCCTCAAAATTCTCAAAAATTAAGTTACTGGAGAGTTACTGGATAATTTTTACGAGAACAAACGTAATATTTCCTCAATTCTGTACATAATTTATAAGATATCTACATCAGACTCAAAAAAAAGCACATACAAATTTTCATGCATAGTAAACTAAAAAAAATGTTTTTATTTCAATGTTATTATTGAGCTTTTTACCACGATTATGTTTTTTTTAGGAAAAATGGAAAGTGTTTTTCCTATTTTAAAGCCACGCATTTTTGGTATTTTCTTTCATTAATTTTCCAAAAATGGTTTTTAGCAACCAACACACTCTAAAGGGTGCATACATATGTAAGTGTTTTATACAACTCTGGTGTAGGCAAATGGCATGGCAATACTGATAAAATTCCGCTGCTTCTGATGAAATAAAATAACTGTGAAATTGTGAGCGCGAAAAAACAGCATATCGCGCCAAATTAAGAAAGGGATACATATACACAGTAGTGTTGGTGCGGTACAATATGTTGATTCACATCTTTTTCTTTCTGACCGATGAAATATTGCCAGATGGATGTTTTTATTAAATTCGCATACGATATTGAAGGCCAAGTACTCGATTCCAAAGAATATCGTTTTAAAAGTATCGAGTGAAAAGTATCGGCATCAAACTGCAAAAGTATCGATTTGGTATCGTATCGTATCGAAATTCGTGTCCCTACATGCACCCCATCCATGGTGGAATTATACCAGTAGTGCGATTCACTAACTTTTAAAGATTCGACAATCGCAATGTTTGTCTAGAAATTTTGTAGTTTGCAGTAACGATTATATGATTAACTAACTTATCCTAAACGACACTAAACACCTGACTTTTAGTATTTATTCAAAGTGATAAAAAGTGGCATCTCTGTCAATCTAAACGTCAAAATATGCGAAAAGGATAAAGAGGAATGCCAAAAAACAAATAAATTTGTTCTCGCCAACGGTGTAAAAACATATTACAAACATAAAAAGTGGTATTTAATGATATTTATTAATTTATTTGCACTAGTAGACTGTTTATTTTCAGAAATGGCGTCCACTAGCCAAGCTGCAAAAAGGAGCCGTGCCTTAGCGGAACAGTTGAGTTCAATGATGGACTTTCTGACGGAATACCCGGCACTGGCTACCGGGAAGTTTCAAATGCTTCCCGGGCAGCTTGAAAACGATCGGAAGTGGGCTGAGTGGGCAGCAAAGCTGAACTCAATTGGAGGTGCAGTAAAATCTGTGGACCAATGGCACACGGTAAGTATCAGTGTTGCAGTAGCAGCGACAGTGGGTAAGGTTTAGTTATTTGTACAACGATTCTGGGTTGCTGTGTCCAAACGCCCGACCCGAATCAAAAGCTTTTGCACACACTTGTCAAACACACACGTCAGGGGCGAACGCAGGTAGGGGTTTTGGGGGTTCAAACCCCTCCCGAAATGCCTGCTGAAAATTTTAAGAAATTTCTCTCTTTGTATTTAGTTAATTACGTAAACAAAAGCAATACTGTTTTTATTTCCGTAAAAGTTTGTACGAATTTTCAACTATTCGCAAAAATCTGCAAATAAAGAACAAACCGAGGTGAATGAGCACAAGCTTGGAAGCATAACCGGACTAAATATTGATGTTGATAGATAACTCATACGCCATGGCATTTTAACGATATACGTTTTCGACCCCGCGCCCGCACTCACAGACACCATGTCTGTATGTATGTTGACTTATACTTGCAACAATGCACTTTCAACATAGGCTGGAATAACTTTAAGACCATAAGAATTGGCAGGCAAACTTGAATTCACCTATATATATAAATGTGAATGTCTGTTTGCTTATTACCTTATAACTTCTGAACCGCGGCACGGAATCGCACGAAACTTTGCACACTTATTTGCTTTTTCCCCGGGAAGGTTATAGGCATAGAGAAAAATGGGCAGTGCTGGAAAAGAGGGCGTGGCACCTCCTATACTTACTAAAATTTTCATATTGTATATCTCTTGAAATATTTGTGGTAGAGCATTGGAACTTGCTGTCGAGATAAATAAAATTAATTCCATACTCATGGGAAAAAATTGGCGGTATTGGAAAAGGTGGCGTGGCACCTCCCATGGGCGTGAATTATTTAATCAGCTCTAACTTCGGAACCGTAAGTCACATGAACTTGAAATTTGGTATGCAAACATATCTATAGTAGATGCTTATCTTAAGGTATATGTAAATGAGTTTGTAAAAGGAGGCGTGGCAGATAACATAGGCGTGGAATTTTTAGTCAGTCATAACTTCGGAACATAAGTCACATGAACTTGAAATGTGGTATGCAGGTATCTACGGTAGGTGCTTATAGTAAGGTATATATATAAATAAGACTGTGGAAGGGGGCGGCAAATCCCAAAGGCGTGGAATATTTTACCAGTTATAACTTCGGAACCATAAGTCACATAAACATAACATTTGGTATGCAGACATATCTATGGTAGGTGCTTATAGTAAGGTATATATAAATGAGTTTGTAAAAGGGGCGTAGCACTTATCATAGGCTTGGAATTTTTTGCCATAGCTTCGTAACCACAAGTCACATGACCCCTATAATTCCTTCTGGCGTGGGGTGAAACCCGCGGGTAAAAGCTAGTTTTCTATATACTTTAGTTAAAATTCTGTTCAAATTTCAAGTCATATGAAGTACGTTGTTCAGCAGCCAGCCCTCCTGATATCAATTTATATGCATACTAGCTTTTACCCGAGGGTTTCACCGCACGTCTTTATACAAATATGAAAAAATTTTTATGTAACGATGTTATATTTCATTTCTTCTCGAATTTTAATATAGCCGTGATAGCATAATAACGTAGAATAGTTGTTTAGCTGGGGTGCTATGAAATCAAAAGCAATAATATGTTTATAATAAAATAGTTTTAATAAATTATATAGATAATAGTTGAAATACCAAAGTTGTATTGTAATAACTAAATTTTAACTATCTAATTTCTTACTCTAATATTATTCCGCAGCACGTTTTTAGTACTTCAATGCATCTATTAACATAGATGCATTTTCCAATGCAATTATCATAAATTTTATTTTCGATAAAGAGTTGGTTTTATTTTAAGGCATCCTTTTTTATTGTCATTGCAAAAGCTAAGTGAACTGGAAACTGAAGTTTTTTAAATTCTAAAGGCATATCAGAAGGAATTAAAGGGGTCATGTGATTTGTGATTCCCAAGTTATGGCTGATAAGAACTTCCACGCCCATGTTATGTGCTACGCCCCCTTTTACAAACTCATTTATATATACCTTACTATAAGCACTTACCATAGATATGTTTGCATACCTAATTTCAAGTTCGTGTTCCACGCTCTCTTTTATATATACCTTACAATAAGCGCCTCCCGCAGACATGTCTTCGTACCAAATTGAAAATTCCTTCGACTTACGGTTCAGAAGTTTTATCTGATTAAACATTTGCAGGTCTATTGGCGGTGCCACGCCCCTTTACGAAATTTACGACATATTTTCAAATAAGACCATACCTATAACCTTCCCGGGGTAAAAACAAATAAGTCTGCCAAGTTTCGTGCGATTCCGTGTCGTGGCTCAAAAGTTATAAGGTAATAAACAAACAGACATTCACATTTATATATATAGATAACAAGCTAAGCTCACAAAAAATTTCAATCGATCTGAAGAATGATGGGTTTTTTGGGCATGAGCTCTCCGTCTAGATGCTCTGGTAACACCACTTTATATGCATACATACTTTACATAATTCCTAAAAGTACTACATATATACTATATGCACATTTTGGTTTGCATTTTAAGGTTTTCGAAGCTTTCGAAAGGGGAGAAGTATTGGAGTTAATTTACATATCTATTTGGGAGAAAAAGTGTATTTTCAATGTCGTAAAAATAACGAACTATTTTAAACTGAAAACTTCTGCCCCTCCGGCTGCCAAATTTTCACAAACAGCCGAAAATTCATCTGACGAGTGTCAAGTACGGAAAAAATGAATACGCTCCGGCGCTGGGAAACTTGGTGCAGCTGATTACAGAGTAAGAGTTCCTTTCCACCACGCCTTAACTGCAGTTAATGCCTATGGGAAAAGGAAATTAAAACAGCTCTTGGTGAAAGTGGGCTATAAGTTACCCGAGTCCCACAGTTCTCAGGACGTAATGATGAGATAGAGAAAATCTTATTGGAATTTTACTAGCATGTATGAATATTAACGTTTAGGCGTAGTTTGATTAAGGCCCAAAAATGGTCGCTTCCCTAAGTTTAAAAAATCAACACCCTCATTGTTTTCAATATGCCGGTAATTTCACAACCCTCTGCGTCACGAAAATCAAGTTTTAAGTTCTCTGCGACCGAATTTATATATCCACGTCCTTGCAGGTTCCGCTTAATGATGCGTCAAATTTTGGTCACCGTAAACTAAGCGATAACGAGAATTATGAGCTCCTTGAATGGCCGTGGGNGCTCCTTGAATGTCCGTGGGCACCGGATGCTGCTTTTACATTTCCGCCTTCGACTAAACGTAATTTGACATTTCAATTATCATGTGTTAAAATGTGTCAAAGGTAATTTTCTACATTTAAATTCAAATGCCATGCTAATATTTAACTTAATATTAGCGGTATTCATCTAAACCGATAGCTTTATCAAGCAGATATTCTTACAAATTTAAGAGCTCTGTTACATGAACGCCCCATACTCTCTTTTTGTATACACTTGCGACAGAGTTACATTGTCTTCAGGTTACCCAGATTATTCAGTGATATCGTTGTAGAAATTTATTTGAAATGAGTTGATTTCCAAAGTTTACACAATTATAATTTTATACGGTTTATAAGGTTTGATGAATACCCTTATTATGTTTCTTTACAGGCATTTTTTCAATGTACCTACAGAGCATAGTCCACCACCCATAGTTGCCAACTTGGTGCTTTAAGCACTAGATTTAGTGCTTTTTGAAAATTAAAACGCCAAAAAAAATTATTTAGTGCCTTTTTTAGTGCTTTTTTTATACCCGAGCGCACTTGTGCACAAGGGTATTATAACTTTGTTCACATAACGGTTGTTTGTAACAGGCAAAACGAATCGAGATAGATATAGACAAATGTATACATAAATGATCAGAATGAAAA